ACAATTGGTGACAAATAACATTACCTGTGCAAGAGAAGGTTCAACCTTACGCTTCTTTGGAGAAGAAAGAAATTGAGAAGTGTTTCGCTTGGGAGAGTCTTGGTCGGGTGGAGAGGGCTCCGATGTAACAGTTATTGTTTGGATGCCAGCCGTCAACAGGCTTGTACCAGAGATATTTGATATGGCAACATTAGAACTGACATCTTGAGGCAAACTCTCACCTGCAAGAATAAAGAAAGATTTAGTTAAAAACCTCTTTCATTTGATGAGTTGTCTATTCTGAGAATTCATCAATGAGAAATATTGCTTTACATGTAACACAGTGACTTACAAATGCTGAGTTATACTTACCACCTTCAGAGGACATATGCTTCGTGGAATCTGAAATAATACAGCCATTCTTCCACTCTTGTGAAGAGATTCCACTCATGAAATGGTCCACATCACTATCTTGATGGTCGAAAGATAGTGATAAATTCTTCCTCACATCAGGATTGATAGTGCCTGGAAAGAAATTAAAAAGGAATAGATGACACATCGAAAACAGAAGAATGGCACAATTAAACAGATTCTCAAGTAATTGTAGAAGCATTTAAAATACACATTTAAAAGAAGATTACCCTAGATGTTGTCTTTGAATGAAATCTCTTACCAATTAGGCTCGGAGTAACTTGTTTGTCTTCTTCATCACTCGAGCTGTCTAACCTAACACGCCTTAGTGGACCTCTTCTCTGTGCACTTCTCCGTTTTGGGTTGCAGATATCGTTCTCGTCAGATCTTGACGCCATGATAATGTGATAGATGTACGCCTGCAAAACGTTTTCATGTTGAGGTTATGTTATTCATACAGTATGGATTACTGTTACAGTCTGTGGTCTAAAAGTGGACACTTTTCTTTAATTTAGAACAGGACAGGACTTTACATGAAACATTCTGAGATTACTATGAAAATGGGTTGAAAACGTGCGGCTTTGAACTTATACGTTTTTGACCATCACATAAAGACTACAATAAAGATTAGAGAAGACCAAACACTTTCAAGTTGAAAATGGCTCTTACGAAATGAGTTTCAAGAAAACTGAGAATTATTGAAGTAGATTTTTATGAGACACTAACTAGGCAACTGGTTTAGGCAAAAGGAACTGACGCCATGTTGAACAAGAACAAAACGGCAGTGAGAGGAGACAAATCGTATTCATCAAAAGATATATTAATAAGCAGTCAATCCATGACTACTCCTGTGAGACAGAGTAATTACCCTGAACTTCAGATATCTTTCACCTCTTACAATACGCAATACGTTCTTCGAGATGACTTGAATCAGACTACTGGTCGTTGCAGCATAACCTCCGTCTTCGGGTTTTGGTCACGTGATACCCGACATCAGGATGGCATCCGGATACAAAGCACTGTTGCCAACCTGTAATGAGTGATTCATGTCATTATCCCGCAATATCGAAGCGCGAGGCCGCTTTTCTTCTCATACGCCGCCATGTTCGGGAAACATTTCCTCCTGATATCCTTTTTCCTGAGTTAGCTCAACTCGTCTGTGTTGCACCCATTCAATCAAAACGAGTTGATACCGATATTTCTCTATCTAAATTTCCTTGGAACTGAAGACAGCGTTCACCATGACTGACTGGAGAAGCTTGCAACTCGAGTTGTATGAGGAGATCAGAAATTTGTCAGAACCGATATGGGTCAGAAATGAGCTCCGCAACCTAGTCGATTTGCGTGTTGATGTTACACGCTTTGTTGAACTAAATGGGGACAATCCGACACGTATGGAAATACGCTAATAATTCTTATTAACTCCCAAATTTGAAAAATATTCTCTGTACAAAATTAATTCAGTATGGTAACTGTCTCACTGCAGGTTACTTGGCAAGGCCTGGGCTGCGCGGACTCATTCATCCAGTGACACTGTAAAAAATATTCTGAAATTTAAGACCAAAATGTATCTTAAATTTAATAACATTTTCAGTTGTTCTTAAACGTAAGAACAGATTATGA